CTTCTAGTCTTATCCACATGAGAAGAAGACGTTAAATTTGTCGGCCATGTCTATAGGTTGTATGTGAGGTTCATCTGGTTTAGTTAAATTTCTCTCTTTATTTCCAGATGGTTTCCTTGAGCCCAAAATTTTGGAGAGGGTTTGCCAGGTACTTTTCATATCACCTTTTATTTCACTAAATCTATTTTCATACACTAAATCTATTTTCATACACTAAATCTATTTTCATACACTAAATCTATTTTCATAATACATTTGCTTTGACTTTCGTATTAGTTTTGCGAGTATTGATGTGTATCTTTCAGTAAATTCTTTAGTAATTAGACCTAATCTAAACTGTTTTTCAAGTTGTTTTTTATTAACAGATTTGAAGATACTTTTTGTTAGCCATGAGCTGTTTAGTCTCATTTCTGTGATCTGTTTAATTTGATTGGACAATGCTTGTTATAGAGGTTTAGGGTTTTATGTAAAAAAAATTTGACATCTTTATCAATATTATTACTGTCAGCTATCTCTCTCTGCCAATCAATTGCACCTAGTGCTAGTTTTAGGTTGTTTATCGATGTCTCATCATGCAGGCGAAATGAGATCTTTCTTGTTTCTTGAGGCAATTTAGATAAGTTGGTTATGAGAAAGGTAGGGTAGTGGTATGTGGTGTTGTCTGTGATTATACCTGCTTGTAGTGGGGATATTATGTTGGTCCAGATATGGTCAAGTAATGAGGCACTTGTCTCAGAGATTCTTGTTGGTTTTGTTATAGAGGGTAGAAACAAGCTGTTGTTCATAGTATTTGTGAAATCAGCTTCTGGAGGCTCAGTTGCTTGGATGATGCTTATGTTGAAATCTCCTGCTAGTATCAAATGATGTTTATTCAATTGACTCAGTTATCATGTTTCTAAGATTACTGCTAAAAGTGTAAGTATTGGTGTGTGATAGTCTGTAGACGGCACCAACTGTTATAGGTTTCTTAAGGATTTTTGATGTGAATTTAGCTATTATATATATTTGCCATTTTTATCCCGTAAGTTAGTTGATTTCATACATTCTAGTTCATCAGGGTAATAGATGGCAGTGCCTCCTCCTGGTTGGTCAGGCCTGCAGATATGTATGGCTGTGTAACCAGGTATGGTAAATATGTCTGTCAAATTTTGTTTGAGCCAGGTTTCAGTAAGAATAATGAAAGTTATAGTAGCATTTAGAGACTTCAGTAATGCAATGAGGTCATCATATTGTTTACTCAATAATCTAACATTATAGTTGAAGACTATAATGTTCTTGCAGACACTGAGAAGGGTATTAGCCTGACTAGCAGTGTAGTAATGGAAATTACTGTTAGGATTATGTATCAAGTAGACATTCCAGTAAGGAAAAGTATAGAGGGTTAATAATGGCAAAGAACTGAAATTCTCAGGATGCTACATACATTTATTCCCTGGACATTCTACAACTTACCTGGGACCAATTTCAATGATAGCCTGTGTGGAGTGGCACTTTATCTCTAGCTGTGTGTGGTCATGGAGGTCAAGGTTGGGCAGCCAGGGGTCACCCAGCAGCTGCCTTAGTGGAGAGTCTTCACCAAGTACTTCACACATATATTCACTGCTCTCACTCACACTGAAACAAAACAAAAAAAAAAAGTCTTTGACCATGTTGTGGGAAAGTGGAAGCAAAAACCAAGGTAACTCAAGTTGGTTTATTCAGCAGATGAAGATAACCCAAGTTGGTTTATTCAGCAGATGATGATAACCCAAGTTGGTTTATTCAGCAGATGATGATAACCCAAGTTGGTTTATTTAGCAGATGATGATAACCCAAGTTGGTTTATTTAGCAGATGATGATAACCCAAGCTGGTTTATTTAGCAAATGATAATAACCATAATAAATGCCCTGAACCACAGCATAAATGATACGATACAAACAAAATATACTTCATAGAACTGAAGTAACCTGTCATTGCTATTCCGGAAGATTACATTAACCCTTTCACTGTCGGTCCCGTAATATTATGGCTTGCAAGCCAGTGTCAGTCCCGGAATACTACACCAACATTTTAGCGCCTTCAAATCTGGTGGGAGAAAGCTGGTAGGCCTACATGTGAGAAAATGGGTCTGCGTGTTCAGTGTGCACAGTATGAAAAAATGGGGGAGGCTGCAGTGCATTGTGGGAGTGCCAATTCAGTACACCATGTTCACCATGCCTTGTTCACTCCCTGGCAAATTAGGACTCTTCTCTTCCCAAGTGATAGTTTTAACACAGATGAGTGTCAGAAAAGATGAATTTCATGGTTCTGAGGAGTTTGTGACCAAAAGCAATGCCCAGGATACCAGAAATATTAGTACACCCAGACGACCATCAACCTTCCACCTCTGGTGCTGGACCATCTCCTGCATGTTCAGTTGCACCACACTGAAAGAGGAAACTCATATTTTCCCATGTCTCAAAGAATAAGTAAGTTTACTCAAGTATACACAAATACAGTTACATAGATTATCATACGTAGGAGCATATGTGTAGAGAACCTAGGATAACCCCCAAAAAAAGTCAGACAAAGTGATTATTTCCATGTGGGTGGTGGGGAAGAGAGTGTGGGTGGTGGGGAAGACAGTGTGGGTGGTGGGGAAGACAGTGTGGGTGGTGGGGAAGACAGTGTGGGTGGCAGGGAAGACAGTGTGGGTGGTGGGGAAGACAGTGTGGGTGGTTGGGAAGACAGTGCGAGTGGTTGGGAAGACAGTGCGAGTGGTTGGGAAGACAGTGTGAGTGGTGGGGATGGCAGTGTGGGTGGTGGGGAAGACAGTGTGGGTGGTGGGGAAGACAGTGTGGGTGGTGGGGATGATAGCATGGTTGGTGGGTAATGGATAATGTTACAATTGGGATGGATAATATACATGAGGCAGCAGGTGGTGATGTAATGCTTCATGTGGCACCAGCGGCACCCCAGGCTGGTAGCCATGCCGCTGACTCAGCACATCCACAACAAAGGCCATCTTCAACCACCCACACACAACAACGCCCTGCACAACCACAACAGCCTGCACAACCACAAGAACCCAACCACAAAAACACAGACATACTCGTTTTATGTGTGAGGACTGTAAAACAGCACTGTGCAGAACACCATGTTTTAACCGACTCACGAAATCGTAATGACACGACTGCAAACAAACCATACCAAGGGTGGGGTTTGAACTTGCGGTCAGAGAGTCTCAAAACTCCAGACTGTCCACGACCTGCAGCACTTCTAGGAATGTGTCCAGTGACTTTATGTGTATATATATTATAGAACAATAATAATAAACAGCTTTTTAATTGTTGGTTTGTGTAAACAAGTTTTGTAAACAATATAATAACAATATTTGTGCGGTTATTGTGTTGCATACAATGAGCGGATACATATACAATATGCATTATACTGGTCTCACAGGCCACAAAAGTTACTTGAAAAAATAAAATATTAGAAAAGACAAAATGGAATAGAAGTAAAAATAATATTACAAAGCGAGCGGGCAGTCCCAATGTTGCCGTCAGCGTTCACTCATCACTCTTCACGCCTCTATTCGGTAACAGTGATCGCAATTTTTTTTTTTATAACACTCAGAAAATTATTCTTAACATTTTGGTAAGAATTTTTTTTTTTTTTTTTTTTTGGGGGGGGGGGGGAATGTTTTCGACAGTGAAAGGGTAAAACCCTCACTTTTCAGTACCAACACACTACACAACCCAAAATTTTTTTTTCATAGTGAGTTCAGTATATTATTACAATTATGATGACTGCATAAAAGCTACTGGATAGAAAGCCCCTTATCATGCAAGGCATTTCTGGCAGCCTTAAAACTAAATTATGATTACAAGTATATGAGAATAAGAGTTTTTAATATAATGGAGGCCTTTAGTAATTCGATAAAGAAATATAATTAGTGATACATTAAGGATGAAGCCAGGTACCTGAGTTGAAGGAATGGTAGACAAGAACAGTGAGCTAAGTATATGAGTTGACTGAATGGCAGACAAGAACGGTAAGCTAAGTATAGGAGTTGAAGGTATGGTAGTCAAGGACAGTGAGCTAAGTATATGAGTTGACTGAATGGCAGACAAGAACGGTAAGCTAAGTATAGGAGTTGAAGGTATGGTAGTCAAGGACAGTGAGATAAGTACATATAACATTAGTAAACAACTGTTAAAGTGTAACCCAAAGTCTACCCTTGACCCTGACCTTGAGCATACAAGGTGCTCGCTGATTTATCTGCATCACATACGTTTATTTAATACTCACATAATCTACGTATTTTATTGTGAAAACCATTATTCTCTGCTAGATGCAAGTTGTGGTGTTGACTTAGAGCAAGGGATTGATAGGATGAACAGATTCCTGACTCTTAACAGACACTGGTAACATACTATAAAGGCTGGGGGCTACACAAGGAAAGGCTCTTTCTGCATGTAATTTCTCTTCAACAGCATGAGATTCAGTCAGTCTAAAAGGGTCTTAGTAACTGTTAGAAACATTCCCTAACACGATGTCAATGGTACAAATACATCAACAAGATACTCAAGTTCTTTACACTTAACTTTACCATCAAAATTAAAGACCAATTAGGTTAACCTCAATTGTGGAAAAATTGATGAAATTAATAATTACTGATGCTATTTGAAGCCACCTTGAATCTCAGCACAGTTTTACAAAGGAGCATTCCTGCCTTACAAATTTACTATTTTTTTCACAAAGGTATTTGAGGAGGAAAATCATTGTACAGCCTCTCCACACTACGTGACATACTCGTTCACCGACAACTCAGACTTACAACAGGCTCTCTAACCAGTATGTATATCATCTCCTCTTCATCCTCCTCTTCATCCTCCTCCCTTTCCTCCTCTCCCTCCTCCTCCCCTTCTCCTCCCCCTCCCCCTCCTCCCCTCCCTCTCCCCCTCCTCTTCCTCCTCCTCCTTTTCCCTCCTCCCTCCTCCTCCTCCCCCCTCCCCTCCCACCACCCCTCCCCCTCCTAAACCCCCCCCTCCTCCCCCTCCCATCCACCACCCCCTCCCCCTCCTCACCCCCCCACCTTCCTCCCCCACCTTTCCCCCCTCCTGCCCCCCTCCCCCCCCTGTCTTCCTCCCCCTCCTCTCCTCCTCCCCCCCCTGCTCCTCCTCCCCCTCCCCCCCCTCCTCCCCCCTCCCACTCCTCCTCCTCCTCCTCCCACTCCTCCCCCTCCCCCCGCCCCTCCTCCCCCCGTCCTCCTCCTCCCCCGCCCTCCCTCCTCCTCTCCCCTCCTCCTCCCGCTCCCCCCCCTCCTCCCCTCCTCCTCCTCCTCCCGCTCCTCCCCCTCCTCCCGCTCCCCTCCCCCTCCCGCTCCTCCCCCTCCTTCCGCTCCCCTCCTCCCCCGCCCCTTTCCCTCCTCCCCCCGCCCCTCCCCCCTCCCGCTCCTCCTCCTCCCCCCGCTCCTCCTCCTCCTCCCCCTCCTCCTCCCCCTCCCGCTCCTCCTCCCCTCCCCTCCCCTCCCCCTCCCCCCCTCCTCCCCCCGTCCTCCTCCTCCCCCGCTCCTCCTCCTCCCTCCTGCTCCCCCTCCCCTCCCGCCCTCCTCCTTCCCCTCCTCCCCCCCGCCGCCGCCACCACCACTGGAAATTTCGGCAGTGCCAGTAAGTGCCTTTTTTCTGAAAAACCCTTATGAAATTTTTTATGGTCATTTTTTTATGACTCTTTTTCAAAAATAAAAATTGAATAAATTGGAAAAATTTTTTTTTTTTTTTATTACACCCGCCGATTTCCCCCCAAGGGAGGGGCCCGAAAAAAAAAAAAACTTTCACCATCATTCACTCCTCACGTCTTGCCAAAGGGTGCTTTACACTACAGTTTTTTTAAAATGCAAATTAACACCCCCCCTTCAGATGAGGCACTGTACTTCCCATCCCAGGACTCAAGTCCAGCCTGCCGGTTTCCCTGAATCCCCTTCATAAAATTTACTTTGCTCACATCCAAAGCACGTCAAGTATAAAAACCATTGCTCCATTCACCCCTATCAAACAGCTCAGCATGCCTGCGGGAAATCCCAAACCCCCCGCACACAAAACCTCCTTTACCCCCTCCCCCAACCTTCCTAGGCCCACCCCTACCCCGCCTTCCCCATACAGATGATACACTTTGAAGTCATTCTGTTTCGCCCCCATTCTCTCTAAAAGTCCGAAAACCCCCAACAACCCTTCCCCAGCCCTTGGACAACAGTTTTGGTAATCCCGCACCTCCCCCTAACTTCCAAAATAGAATTCTCTGCTTATAAAACCTCAAATTGCAACCTCCTTAATTTTTTTGGTCCATGTAAACAGCGGATAAAAGAATCAGCTGATACGGTTTTTGGGTACAGGGGTCCTACTGCATATCCTTAAACAACAATAAATCATGATTTACCAAAACCCTTTTCTTTAAAATTAATGTTTTCATTATTTAGACTGCTTTTTGGATTTAGGGAAAATACAGTGGGGCCCTCGGTTATCAGCCCTTCCCTTATTTTTCCAACTCGGTTATCAGCCGGGTTTTTTTGCTTCCGGTTATCGGGTGTTTTTCGCTTATCGGGCCCTCTGGGACGGTCAACCCATTTTCACCAGCCACTCATGCGTCAGCGGCTTTGTCTTTGGGCGAGTGAGGAAGCTTCGCTCATTCATAAACATTTTGGTATAAAATGGAGGGGGAGTACAGCAGGGAGTGTAGGAGGAAGGCAGGGAGTGTACAGGCAGGGAGGGGGGAAATAACCCCAGAGAGGGTTTGATACCGAAGTCCCTTTTTAAAGGGGGATTCCCCTTTCAAAAAAACAGTCCTCCCTCTCTCCTCCCCCCCGTCTTCCATAAGCCAAAAAGGTCTTATATGTTCATTTTAATTTTTTTTTGTTCTCTTTGTTTTTTGGTATGAAAAATTTAAAATTAACTTTAAAAATTATTATTTTTTTTAATATTTTTGGGTGTCTGGAATGGATTTTTTGTATACATTAATTTTTTGGGGAAAATATTATTTGGGTTTTAGGCCATTTCGATTTAGGCCCAAACCCTTTCTGAAATGGATTAGGGCCAATAACGAGGGGCCACTCTATTATGTTCTATTATTTTGGCATGATACCCTCCCAAGCTTCTGTTAGCTGGTATAATTATGTACTTGAACCGGCTGAGGAAAATCATAACACCTTAATACACCTTAACACCACCTACTTACCTTTTCCTGAGGGTTATAGCAGTTTTTTATGTTGGAGGTCTTTTCCCCCCTCGGGCAAGAATACGAAGATTGCAGATGCAAACCTGGGCTGCCTGTGGCCTCCCAGGTGCCCCCACGTACATCGCATCAACGACATACTACAAAATAACTCGCTCTCCCAACTAAATATAAATACCGCAAAAGGGAATAACTAGATCAGTTTATAATACTTAAAGCACAAATTTTTGTGAATTCCCCCACACACAAAAAAAAAAAAAAATTGACAAGTTTGAAATATGTATAACTGTGTAAAATGCATGTACAAGAACCAAATTGACAATACTGAATGAGACTTTTTCGTCATACACTATCCAATAACCTTTATATTTTTAACCATACACACAGATATCACGGTGAGCAGGTTTTCAATAAGTACTGATTAAAAAGAGTAGTTTTAGTGCTGTGTATTTTAACTGGACAAGTGGATAACCTGTGAGGGGGAAAACAAAGTCAGTCTAAGCCCCCCCTCTCACTTTACCAATAATAAACATCAAATAAAAATGATAAAAGATGTTTATTTTAGTTTTAACAAACATATTCAATACAATAAGTTAAAAACTTTAGTATTTACAGCATTTATACAAATTTTGCACTATACCACTGAAGTCTAAGACAAATTTTTTGGGTTTTATGTTGTTCTAGCACACAAGATGTTGAAGTCTAAAACAAATTTTTAAATTAAATTTAATTATTCTTTCAAGCAATCATGTGTTTGTGTTTTTCAAAAAAGGGTTTCAGTGCAAAAAAGAGCCTCTATTATCCTTAGGATTTAGGGCCAACTTAATTTTAAAGGCTTACTGGTTCTACTTAACATTTAAAAAAAATTTATCACAATGTACAATAGTTCCATTAGTTTAAATGAATTTTTATAAAACCAAGGATATATTCATATTTTCAAAAATGCTTTTTATGAAGCATGATTCAATTATATTCATGTCGACAATGGACAACAGATTCAAAAGTAATGACAG